CCGACACTGTATGTAAACACGCACTAACGGCCTTGTTTATCACACGTTAAGAACATAAGTTCCCCCTCAAGATTGGCTCACCAATTCAATACTTCATTCAACATTCAACATCTCTAAAATATGATGAGGTACATGGGTATTTATAGTTGCAAAATAAATCTATGCCTAAATCTACTAGATCTCCTAAATCTTGCAATAATAGAAATCCTATCTCTAGAAAGCAATAAAATCCTAAAGCTACCAAATAACTATTGCTTGGCTTGCACACCAAGCAAATCTAGAATGCTCCAAACTCCTCCGAACTTCGACCGCCTTAATTTTCCTTTGGCCCGTCCCACGCGCACACCTTCGGCGCTATTCCTTGTCGCGCGCGGCTTCGTGCGTGCGCGCCCCGCACGCGTCGCCCGTCACGCCTAGTCCCTCTCGGATTGGGCCTTGAGCGCCCGTAGCCCACGCGTCGCCTTCCTCGCGCCCTTGCTGGATGTTGACTCCTTCGCGCGCGTGCTCATCCGTGGTCAGTACTCCTACGCCCGCTAGGTCGCGGTCATCTCCCGCTCCCACACCGCCCGTGTACGCGATGCCGGTCTTGCCTAATCCTGCCCCGCCTAGGACACCGTCCGCGTTGTCCCACTTGCGCGCCATCGCGCGCCTACCGCCACTGCCGCTCAGCTGCCGCGCGTCCTCGCCACTTGCGCGAGTCCTGCGCACGCCACCAGCTCCTGCTTCGACCGCACAACTGCCTTGCGCCTCGCGCGTCCCCCAGCGTCCGAGGCCTGCCCTTCGACACCACCGTCGTCAACCGTGCACTCGCGTGCACATCTCTGCTTATTCGACCCCTTGCGCGCATCAAGACACGATGCACGCTTTTCGCTTGTACTCGCACCCTCGTCGCCAGCTGACTCCAAGTGCTCGCCGACCTCTTTCGAGCACTCGCCCGATGGCCATGGGTCCCAACCCTTCAACCTCACACAATCATCCGCCGGTATCCACCATCCACTTTGAACCCATCGCAAACCACGCCTTTTAGCCTCCTTCCTTTGAGCTCGTCTTTTCTTTGCACAAGGCTCGCACCTACATTGACTCGCTTTCCAGGCCCTTTCCTTGCGTTGTCTCTTGGCCGTCCGTTTTTTTACCTTTGACTTCAGCTTCGGGCCACAACCTTTTGGCCAATCTCGTACACATGAT